GCCGACCGAAAACATAAATGATTTTAAAAAGGCTGTAATGTTAACTTAGTATTATTAACAAAACTCTGGCCTCTGATTTATCAGGTTCAGTCTGATTATTTTCTCCTTCAAAGTGTTTGTTGACAGCTTTTTTTAATGGACTCCTGTTTCTTTAACATTTTAAAGTTTAAGTTCTGCCGTTAGCTAAAGTGCTGGGATAGTTTCACAGCCAGAAAGGCCGAACTTTGAACCTCGGCAGTTCAGTCTGAAGCTCTCAAACCTTGAAGTTTAAGGTTTCTGCTGAGCTGATGTTAGATTTGATTTATAGGTTTTTAGATCTTGGGGGCAAAATAACAAGACCCCAAGGCACTAGTTTTCAACCTTTAAGTAAAAACACTGAAAATAGAGCCCAAAAAGCTTCTACTTAAATCGGACAAGCAAGCCTGTACAAGTATTTTTTATTATTGTGTTTATGAATCCAAGAGAAGACAGGTTTACCTTGAGACCTACTGAGAAACCAGTTTTGTTGTAGCAGAACACCATTTACTAAAGACACTAACAGTAACCTTAGCAACTCTCAATGACGTGTTAGGGTTAGCGATGGTCTCGGTCTAATTAGGGACTCTGTGGAATGAAGAGCAGGTTCAAGTTGTAGTTCTCTGAACACCAGGTGTGGTCTTTGAGGCGTAGCGTCATATACGTGGTCGTTAATGATCCCTGCTCGATTTTGCTAGGTTAGCTTGTTTTCATCACCATGATACCTAAACACACATTCAGACCTGAGGGAGGTTTTATGTGAATAAAATGATGCTAGCAACATTATTTTGTATGATTTTGAGCGTTTGAGGGTAAATCTTTGGAATCACAGCCTGAACCTGATGAGTCAAAGTTCATGAGTGTTTTATGTGAAGTTTGGTTTGATGAGCCCAAACGGAGAGGCGGGTCCACAGGAAGTCTGAATAACACTGGGATCTATTATTATCAGTGTTAATGTTTAACATTTAAAACGTCTCCACGCCCCAGGTAACCTCCGTCAGTCCCTGAGCGGAGACTCGACCCCATGAGCGCCCCCCCCCCCAAGCCATGTGGGACCGTTTAAAAATCCACATTATGCAAACAACAAAAGAAGAAGAAGAAGTCGTAATGAGTATCACTATAATGAAATAAAGCTGTTTTTAATGTACAGTATTATAAGGCCTAAAAGCTGTGTGGTGCTATGATGTTCTTAACTTTCGGTGTGTTGTTGTGTTCGAACCTCACTTCAGGAAATTGCACTCCACTCCCTGAATCACTACAAAATAAAAGAAAAAGAAAAAAAGAGGGTATACAGCCTCGAACACTCGGCCACTTCCTGTCAGTGTTATTGTCGTATTTTATCTCCTTTTACTGTGATGTTTTTATTTTTTATTCGACTTTATTATTTTGCCAACTAACCACATGACTTTGGGCCTCCTGATTTGTTTTTTTTTACGTGAAGGAACATTTAAACCTGTGTGATTTTCAAAATAAAACGTGGAGTCTTAAAGCGCAGAGGAAATGAAAATGAAAGGCAGAGCCCTCTGAGTGTGTTGAATTTTTCTCCAGAGAAAGCCTTATTATATGCAAACCTTTCACCTGTGCCATCCCTGTACAGCGCCACCTGTCCTCTGCTTCAGTATTAAAGTGACGAGCTTACCTGTCCGATGCGTCAGTGTTAGCGTAGCAAGGCGTCAGTTTCTTAGTTTACACGTTTGTGCAATTTTCTGTGTTTCTGTTCACCTCAGTATTTCTGTCAGTATTACTTTTGTTTTTAATTTCAGAGTTTGCCATTTTATTTATGTGACTCATTTTATATTTCCTAATTTTATTTATTTCATACTGTAGTGTACAGTATTAGAGTTCCTCACAAACATCTATTTTAGTAAAATGATCGGAGCAAAACTCTGGAGCTTTTCTTGTTGCTTTCTTTGTTTTTTCCAAACTACTGGAAATTTTAAATTTGGGGAACTTTGGATACGAAGCTTCTGGTGAAAACACTGTATTAAAAAAAATCCACTTTATTCATCCCACTAAAGAGGTGATGAAAGACTGGTGAAGACGATGAAGGAATTCCTGAAATGTTTTATGATTTTTCATTTTTAATTTCCATGCTCGAATAAATGTAGCCAAAATCAATTTTAATAAAGCTGTGTTATTCTTCTTGTAGCACCGGGGTCTGATTCATTAACGCCACAGCGACGAAGACGAGCGCCGTTTTTAGCTTCCTCGTGTTACCGTCACATTGCTGCTCGCTCACATCATCGCTCCTCACACACACACACACACACCTGACCGCAGTACACACACCTCGCAGCGCGCTGGCTTCAGGCTGGACCTTCGTCCGGAACATGAGCTCAGCACTGACGGATAAACTTTATTTAAACTGACAAACTCGTGTTCCGGGAGCTTAGCCTGTGACAGCATGGACCAGAAAGGAAAAGAAACACTCTGTAAATTTTACTTCCAGATGATTCGTGTGGTGGAGGAAGACTGCGCAGCTCTCTCGTTTCTGGTTCAGGCTGAAATCATCGGTTTTCTCCACATTAGCAGGACGCGCGCTTACAGCCTCTGTGATTTATGGCTTTTATCTGCAGATGCAAACAGGTGTGGTTCACACACAGTGCAGAGAAGCGCTGATCTGAGACCAGCGAGGACCCTCACAGCCTGAGGAGAGCTGACACGGATTAAACTGCTCAGAATGAACTCGGGGCTTTTAATTTAGGCTCGTTTCTAATTAATGATTTCCTGAATAAACTATGACCTTTTTGGAATAAAGGTTGTGGTGTGAGTGCTGTCTCTGCACACCTGACAAACAAACATGTCGTCAGTAACTGAAGATGTGATCGTTCCCACTCTCCGTTCACACCTTCATCCACACCTGCCGAGCGGCTCACGTCCACCCCCGCCTCCGCCTCCACCGGGCGAGCCAACGGATGCTGTCATGAGTCCTCTTACCTGAATGATGCTGGACGTCCACACGGCGCTTCACAGCTTTCACTTTAGTCCTGCTTCAGGTGTGTGACGGGGTACGTCCATACTGGGTCCTGTAAGCGTGGCACGCGGACGATAAAGTTTGACTTTGACGTGGTTTTAAATCAGTGTTGGTGCAGTGATCTCTGCTCTGAACCATTCGTCGGAGCGCAGCAAAGCCTTCAAACCACCTGAAACCAGCCCAACGTCACACCTGTATCACAAGGTTTATTAATAAAGATTTATGCAATTTAATACAACAGCCAGACAGCAGTCAGCTGACCCGTCATTGCCCTTTGATCACTGGTTAATGACTGTTAGTGAAGCAGAGTGGCTCATGCAGGTGAGAACAGGTGTGTCTGGTGAGTGTGAGCTGCAGGGTTTTACCTGTGTAAACACAGTGCAAAGGATTCCTTTACTGAAGCATGAAGTACATGTATTCATGAGACACGCAGATGTGTGATGAAGATAGTCAGAGAACATCAAGTGACCCACGGACATGCAGCATCATGTGACTACAGTTGAACCGTTTTATAAAACAGAGAAAAAGACTTTATGCAAACATGTAGGCGTGACACTCACAGAGGTCAAACGAGCCATCATACCATTTTTCAGCCACAAGGTTAACCAGGTGATCTGCTGCCTGCTTCTTAAAGCTGCTGATTTTCAAAAATGTAGCCACATCTGTCCCCAGGACAACAGGCGTGAGTGTCCTCTGTAACTTGTGTGAAAATTTGGGCGTGAACAGAAACTGTTGTCCAGGTAAGATAGCACCTGGTCACACATGCTGGTGTGTTCAGGTGAGTCTCAGGCAGGGGCATAGTTTCCAGGGGGGTTAGGGGGGTTATGACCCCCCCAATAATCAGACCCAACTAATATAACCCCCCCAATAAAATTATGAATTATCGTGCGTAAATAGGCTGTTGATTTTCTTTATTCATTTCAGGAATTCCCAGCAAAATAGTTGCATGTTTAATCATCTGGGAATTTACCCAGATTTATTTATTTATTTAGACAGATCTCGACCCCCCAAATGTTCAGCACAAAGTTACCCCGATGGCTCAAGTATATTCACATAATAATTAAACTTGGATTAAATTACTGTAAATCCCCGACTGCTGCTAACTATACTAATGCAGTATTACTGCGGTAGTAGCAGTACTGCTGATACTTTACTGCTTACAAAAACCGCAGGCTGGTGTCTCTGAGTGTGTAATACTCTTTAAACTGCAGTTTTTAACCTATGACTTTAAAAATTTAGCCCTGCGACTGGCGACTGGCGACCTGTCCAGGGTGTACCCCGCCTCTCGCCCCTTGACAGCTGGGATAGGCTCCAGCACCCCCGTGACCCTGAAAAGGATAAGCGGAAGCGAATGGATGGACTTTAATTTACATTTAACTATTTTTTCCACTCAGAAGAAAAGCAGGTGTTGTGCCAAAAAGTGATTGTCTGCCAAAAAGTGATTGTCTGCCAAAAAGTGATTTCCGGTATTTGCCAAAAACTGATTGCTCGTATTTAAACTGCTATAAGTAACTTGTTGGGCTATAATATGTGAAACATATGTTAAATGCATCCCTCATGGATGACATAAAGTCATATTGAGCCACAAACAACATTCGTGTAACAAGGTAGAAGCCGCAATCAGTTTTTGGCAGTGACTTTTATATAACCTTTATTTATGCAGTTAAAAAAATCTCATTAACATTAAAAATGTATTTTGTCAGAGTAAGCTGGCCAAGACGACAGCAGAAATGGCAGCAAATATGACAATAGTTCTGTAAAAATATTTTAAACGAGGATAAAAGACCGGATTGGTTATAATGTAAGTACAATAACACAGAGCTGTAAAGATACTTGAAAAAACTAATAATAATAATTTTTTAATTCTATATATAACTCCTTTGTAAACGCTGTTCACCGAAGTCTATTTACCAACTTACATAAAGATATTACACATAAAAAATACACGGAAACATTGGAAATCAGTTTTTGGCAGGCAATCACTTTTTGGCACAACACCGGCTCGGCTAAACCTACGTGATGACGTCAGACCGTGCGTATTCTGCTGTGATCCAGGAGATGCTGTCAGAGGTGAGTGTCCCGCTGTCGGTGAACTCGCCGTTCGTATGAGGGTCCTCGGTGGAAGCAGACCGGCGGGTTCTCCGGTCCTCCTGCCGGCTGCCAGTGGCGGGGAGTGGGGGGGAGGAGCGGACTTTGCACCGGGGAAGGAGAGCTACCTGATAGCGGCTAGCTGTTAGCCGCTATCAGCTAACTGAGTCCTGGTGATACGCTTTTAGAGCTAACGATGCTAACGGTGCTATTAGAGCTAACGGAGCTGAACACGTTGCAGGACGTAGAAGCCTAGAAACAGTGCTACTCCAGTACGTAGACAGAGCCCTGACTCGGTGCGTGGGAGAGTGTTCGGGTCATTGCACTCACCACCAACAAACACCGTACCTGCGCTCAGACGCACACTGAGGTACAGGCGATGGATACCTGTGCAGGTGTTTGCTCTGAGAAACCAGACTGTGGATGAATCAGCTGATGGGTGCACTAGTGACAGGTGACAGGTGAAGGCTCTGGGGTGTCTCAGGTGTGTTTTCATTTTCAGTAAGAAACATGTACCTGTTGGTGTTACTAAGGTACAGCTCCTCCACCTGTGAGGTCCAGGTGTTCTTATTTCCACCCCATCAGTGTCCAGCATCACGTTCAGGTCATCCCATCTCAGATCACAGTAGGTTTTTACTTCCCAGCTCCACAGTAAACTTCCTGTCAAAGCGAGTTTTTACTCCCCACTGTTGTCAAGTGCCTGCTCACAGGGGCCTGACAGCATTATTGTGGGGTCTGTACCTCACAGTAGAAAGCACTGTGAGGCAACTGATGTTGGGATTTAGTGCAACATAAATACATCAGAGTTGAATAAAAATTGTTGTACGGCAAAACAAGCAGTGACAGACTGGGAATGGTTTACGGATGAATTTCACAATACTGCAAAATAATCACATAGAATAATATTTATTGATTCTAAACATCCAAACATTAAACAGGAACACTGAGACAGATGACAGAACTGGAGTGAGCCGTTACATTCATTCCACTCATTCATTAGTTTCGGTGAATTTCCACAGTGGGTTTGATGTTTCACTCTGGTTTTTATTGGTTTCACTGCTGGTTTAGGTGTTTTTAATGATTATTGTAAGGAGGGCATGTGTCAGAGGCAGATTTATGAAAAGACTTAAAGACGCCCACAGTGTCGCTAAACGCGACCATCACCTCTCTGTAGTTTTAGTTTAGTGTTGGTGAGAGTGAGGCAGGCTCTGTGGAGATCCTCTGTACATCAGTTAGTGCAGAGTCACTGTGGGCTGAGCAGAAAAACCCCACAGTGACATTTACAGTGCAGATGGGGGCGGGTGCAGCGCTACTGGGACTGTCATCACATTATTGTCCTCCAACAGGCCTCAGCATGGCACACGCGAAGTATAAAGACACGAGGGGTGGCTCAAGACTTTGGCACAGTACTGTCCATGCTGAGGGTTTAATATTGAGAGGAGAAAAAAACAAACATGTGATTGGTTCATGTCTCAGTCCGATATGACCCCAGGGGTCGTGACCTTTGCTATCAGACGCGATCCGAGTTGCTCTGCAGGGCCGAGGAGGAGCACGCTCAGGCGTGCAGCAGGTGTTGAGGTCGGAGCTCAGCACAGGTCACCTCTGTGGGTTTGGACTGCCGGCTGAGGGTGGAGGCGGAGGGGCAGGTTTAGAGCAAAAGTGATGCTTCGCCTCCGTGTGGAAATTATCGACTCATCAGGGAGCTGCTGGAGAAGAAGCTGCACAGATTAGCCAATGAGTGTGCGGTTTCACAGTCAGACACGCCCCTCGCCGTGATGCCAGTGCTCGTCTTGAAACCTCGTAGCAGGGCTCCTGAAAGCTTTGGGCGATGGGCATCTGTGGTTGTAGATGGAGCTCTGTCCGTCATGGCAGGGTGGAGGCTGGCCTGCCTGATCCTGACCGGTCCGGCTGCTGCATGCTGAGGCTGTCGGGGCTCCGCCCACACCGTGGTTTCCTCAGCATGCTGTTTCCAGCCTGACTCAGGCTGCGGGGGGATTCCCTACGGGGAACGCCGCTCGCATTAACCCTTTGTTTCAACTGAGTCGGCAGCTTCCAGGCGCAGTGGGAGGAAAGGTGTTTAGGTGAGATGAGTGTGAGCTGGAATCCCCCGCCGGCTCCACGGTGGAACCATCCAGCTCGCGTCTACTGACACGCTTCCTGCCTCGCCGTCCGGCGCTCTGGCCTCATCTACGTGCCCCTCAAACCCGGCTTCATCGAGCACCGATCGATAATCAGTCTGATCGACCGGTCCTGGTGTGAGGATGTGAATTTCCTCTCTGATCTTTATTAAATCTCACCACTGCACCACAGACCTGGTTCTACTTCCTGTTTTCATTAATAGCAGTCTGTGTGTGTGTGTCAGCCTTGGTGTTGAAATGTCTCTAAGAACATTTATTTATTTTCACGTCACTGATGGAATCATTTATTTACTGATTGAAAATCTTGGTAATGTGATACACAAACATGAAAACAGTCCAATTTCTTT